GCACTCGCGAGAGCTTCTTGGAGGGTGGTGCCATGTGTCTGGTATCCTTGTTGCGTGCTTGCCAGTTTTCTGGGGTTTCACTCTGTCTGGTGGGCGAGGGCGGCCTACTGGGGCAGGAAAAGGGGTTAGCGCGTCTTACTTTTCTTACCGTCCTGTCTTGGTGTTCGCTCTAGCAGCAACCCGGCGACGCTTGACAACATTTCGGGTTTTGGAGCAAGAAGATTGATTCTTAGGTTCTGGAGAAGTAAGATTTAGATTGCGCCGGGGTATGAGCTGAGGGTATTGCCGTAAGTGGTGGATTACCAAGTAACCCCTTCATCCCAGCTATTGGCCGAATGGTGGGCACCTTGATTGGGCCTTTGATCTCCTTTGCTGGATCATGGTATGGTTTCATAGGTGATAATTACTTGCGGTTGAGGATCCCGACTATGGGTGGTTTATCCGTGGTTATGTTGGCGAAGCTTTCATCGGGAGTGCTGGTGGTTAGTGGTGCGAAGCATAGATTCTTGTCCTTTTTTGAGAGGAGATTTGTGATACTTTCTCAATATCCAGACGTGTGAGATTGACTGTGGTACACATTCGCAATTTTTCATCTATTTTTACGCCAACAGGTTTTTTGTCAGATTTTCTGACATGGAGAGGACTGTCGCGGGCTAAACCTGTGACATATTTACATCTCTTGATTATATTCGCCTGAGCAAGATAGTGCCATACTGTTGCGCTCTGGCTGAGCTCGACCACAATACCTGTGATCACTTTCTTTGTTTTCGTTCGAAGATATGAACACCTGATTAGGTTTAAGATCTCCAGTGATTTGAGGCTATCTAGGATTTTCTTGACCCTATGAGCTGGGGGTGTTTCTCATGGAAAATTCCCCCAGATTGTCATGCGTTTACCGCCTGCCTCTGTCTCAGACTACTTATTGGCGGTATCTAAGATGATTTGGTCTAATACCTCGAGGGTCATTTTACGGGCTTCGAATTAGGGAGAGAGACCTACAAGTAGTGCCTTCACCTCCACCAACTCAGCCTCCAGTTTGGCAACTTTCGTCTTTAGACTTAAGATTGCCGCGCTCTGTGATAAGACTATTCTGTTTTGTAGCACTTCGGAGGTGTTAATTACCGTGTTGTCGTGTTGTTGACGCATAGGTAAAGTTTCTTCATCCAGAGAAAGATCTTAGATTGAGACAGTATCGTTATTTCCTGCTATCATTTTAAGAGGTGCCCTCATGGGAGAGCTAAGTCATTACACAACCCAGAAACTACTTCGTCTCACCTTCGATCAGGGGCTAATTTGAAGGTTTGAAACGAAGGTAGTTCTGTTGGCTCTTCTGGCAGTCGGTACTTGATTACCCGATTACCGAAGAAGTGTGATCTGGCTACTATCCTGGATGGAGATTTCCTTAGTTTCTTACACTGACCCCTTGTTCTCAAATCGAGGTCTTCCTGAAACAGGTTCTCCGGGCCTATGCCTGTTAAATCCTTCATTATTTTGAAGGTTTCGATTAGGTTACCCTGGAGTCTTCTACTCTCCAGAGAAAAGAGCCCCAGGTCATGAAGTCTCTGATCATACCACTTCCCTCTTTGACCCTCAATCATTCTCGCTGCGAGCCTCTGAACTTCCTCGAAGCGGGGAGCATTCCTTTTGAAGATGGGTGGCCATGCCTGCACGCAATAATCGATATGAGGTCTAACTATAGCTTTATGTAGGGGCACAAAAACCTCCGGTTTTCGGCAAGACAGTGCTGACCCAAGTCTGCAGAGTTCGCTACAAAATTTTTCTGGTGGCTGCTGTGCACTGGTAGGTCCAACGGAAATCGGAAGTCACGATACTAACTAGGTCTTTAGCCCTACTTACTGATTCTATCGTAAAAAACCCTTGATCCTGCATCACTGTTAAGCTGTCGCCGGTCTTCAATAGCAACTGACTTTTACCAGCATTCAGCAGTAAATCCCACTTCTGCGCCCAGCTTAGGACAGCAGCTATGTCTCTTTTGAGGTCTTCTCTTCCTTTCGATCCCCCCACGCAGCTCAGTTATGTTCTCACAGGACGATTTGTGGCTGTAGATTCGTGTGTTGTCGGTGAGTTTCCTTGGATTCCAACACTTCGATATGCAATTTTTGTGAAAGGAAGAATAGTGTGGTGCAATATTACATCCTCTGTGATTAGGTTATAGGTGGCACCAAATGCTTACTTCAGGGAAAACCGCTATCCAACACTCATCAAGTGCCTTTTTGAACGCCTCTACAATACTACAGCTTACCGACGTCAGCGGCAATCGGTTCCACAACAGAATTACCTTGTTGGGGGAAAACGTTGCTCTCAGATGCATCTTAGAGTGGCTTCGCTGCAAACTTTGGTTATGTCCCCGTGTACCTCTACGGGAACAGGTCGTCAAACCTAAGGCCTGATATACCCTTGACGATCCTAAATGTATCAATGAGGTCTCCTCTCATCTACCTCCTTTCAAGGGAGAACAGATTTAAATCTCTGAGCCGCTCTTCATAGCTTTTCTCCCGTCGCCCAGCTATCCTCCTCAGGGCTAGACGTTGAACCCTTTGTAAGGTATCGACGTCCTTTCGAAAGAACGGAGCCCAAGCCTTCACTCATTATTCCAGATGCCGGCGGACGATGCTTTTATATAAGGGAACAAAGACCTCGAGTTTTCTCCACGTCATGGTTGCGCATAGACGAAACAGTTGTCCCCTGGTTTTGTTTGCGGCCTCCACACTTTAGGTACTGAGTTTGAAATTCTGCCGTACCACTATGTCTAGGTCCTTTGCCTGGTGCACCCTTTGTATCGACTGGCTCCTTGCTGTTTATTCGTCAGTTCTAGTCGTCAGTATCTGACATTTTGAGATGTTCACTGATAGGCCCAATTTCTCGGCCCATATATTTTTTACCTCTATGTCCCTTGCTAGATCCCATTCAGCTATCTTGACGTCATCTGCAAACAGAAAACAGGGATTTTTGAGATCCTGTGCCAGGTCGTTAAAGTATAGCAGGAACGGCAGTGGTCCAAGTACTGAACGCTATTTAATAAGTTTCAGCTCATGTTTACGCTTTCCTTGATGAGGAGCCTCAGTGAAGATAGACCCTGGATCTAAACCCAGCAAATTTCTCTTAATCTTAAATACTTCGATGAGGTCTCCGCGCAATCTCCTTTCTTCTAGTGAAGAAGATCAAGCGCGTAAAATCTCTCTTTGTTTGTTTTTCCTTGCATACCCTTAACAGATTGTGTTGCTGGTCGCTGAAGCTGCTCCAGATAGGTGGATTCTTCTTTGTTTCTTGAACACAGTACTCTAGATGAGCCCTACGATGACTTTGTATATGGGAACAAATGCTTCTGCTCTACTACAAGAAACTGCTGACCTAATTGAAACAGCTTTCGTCTTGCCAGTGTTGCCAGTTCACACTGGGTACTCCAACACTAATCTGCAGTTACAATGACTCCCAGATCCCTGTCACTGGTTACAATGCCTACATCGAATAGGTATAGTCAGGTAAGGCTTTTGCGTGCTGTAGTCTACCTACCTAGTACCTGCTGTCAGTGTTTCTAACTACGAACTGTTAAACCGTCGCCACACTCGTCGATCTTGACCTCCGATGACTTGCACGTTCTTCGTCGACGTCTGCCCTCCGCATAAGCAAGCTTGCAGCCAGTCGCACGATAAACTTATAACAGTGAATCAACAGTGGGTCAAATGTCTATCATTACAGATAAAGTCTCGATGTGTAAACAAGATGTTACATGTGGACGGTGTGATTATTGTTCGTCTTTACAAATGAAGTGAGGTTCAGCATGCAGGTGATAATGCGTATATGAATGGATGAAAGTTGTGAGGACACCTTTGGAGTCATGTCATAAATTATGTATCAATCAAATGAAAAGGCACTCAGTCAGGAAAATGAAATAGAGAGGATGTATGTTAAGGACGTGGAAGCACGGGTGCTTACACGTACGGTGAATATCACTGGGACGCAATTCCCACAAGGGGGCAGGTAATTCAGTATATTACCCGGATTCTCTGCACAACTTCATCAAGTAACTGCCCGGTACTCATCTCCCTCCAATAACCACAATCTGCGAATCACCAATTTACCGGCAGATGTTTTCAATTTCACGGTTCTTACTAGAAAACTCTGCCAGTTTGTCTGCATGCTTCCAACCCGAGTTATAGCAGCGACAATTTGTTTTCAGTAAATCTAAAGCAGCATTAGATCTCAGTAGCAGGCGGTCAGTGGGAGTCAGCTCCAGTCCTTGCAGTGAAAGGTACAAGCGGTCAGTTGTTAAGTATTCTTTCCGCCTCTACAAGCAATGTACTCAAATGTTCGTCGTCCGGAGATTGTTCTTCACATAATGCTGTCAATATTCTCCGAACTGACCATATGAGCCTTTCCTCAAGGTCCACGCGGTGACTGCTGCAGCAGCAGGTCTAGCAGAGCGCATTTGTCTAACCGCGTCAATCATTTACTCAACTCCTTTTGTGCACCGACGAAATTGCAGCCGTTGTCGGAGAACACATTCGATGGGTTGCCTCGTCTACCCACGAATCTCTCCCAAGCCATAAGAAAAGAGTCGGTCGACATACTATGTATGGTCTCTATATGCAAAGCTCGTGACTGTAGGTAGATCATCAGGCAACCGTACTGTTTCTCCGTCAACGTCTTTCGTCTCACCCAAAGTGGCCCAAAGTAGTCCACTCCAGTTTCGGCGAAGGGCCACCAACCCGGTCGTACTCGGGAGCTTGATAACGGGGCTATCAAATGTTTGCTGAGTGTAGCATTCTGGCGACGACAAAAGAAACAGTTACCTACGATGTGCTTCACCGTATCTCTTCCCTCCACTATCCAAAACCGACGGCAAATCGTATTGAGTAGTTGGTTTTCCCCGGCATGTGCTTATTGCACCTGAATAGATATGATGAGTGCGTGCGTAATGTGGTGGTTGTTGGACAAGATGATGGGGTGTTTAGCATGAAAATTCAATTCAAAGTTTGTCAATCTACCACCTGCTCACAGCAAACTGTCTACCAATATTGGACAGAGTCTTCGGAGAGAGTTGCAACGTAATGCACGTCGATTGGAATCAGAATTCCCCTTGCTCACCCCCTGACTGTCCGACGGGAAAGCCTGCAATTGAACTAAACGAACAAAATCAGTCTCTGCCGTTTTCAAATCAGTTGGAACAATGGGTCCAATATTCATGGTGTCGTTAAGTCGGGTTCCTTTCATAATGGTAGTTGTTATTTGAGCCTAGTCCACCGGACAACCACCTTCAGCATCTTCGTTCATCTTGAGAAACGGCGCAGTGTATACAGTAGGATGTTGGTTGAAGCAGCGACTAACGTAACGGTCCTCTCAGTCCCCAGGAACTCCGTTGTGGCATGGTAAATCTGAGTGTCGGGCTATTCGCTGGACTGACCCATCAAAAATGGTGATCCTTGTATACATGTTTTGATTTTTCCAAGTTCAGCGCACCCCTGGGGCAGTAGTCGGCCGGATTGTCACAGGATTTGATGTGCCGAGATTGACACCTCAAATTCTTCGTAAATGACAGCCAAACGGTTGTCAACAGATGTGTTGAAGTGCATTCCTACATTGTAAACGTAGTGAAGAACTATGGGGGAATCAGTCCAGTAAGTTGCGATCCATTCGATTGAGTAAAAACATCTGTTTAGCATCTTCGCCATCCTCACGGCTAATATTGCTGCAGCCGGTTCTAGCCTGGGTATTGAGACTGCCTTTAGGAGGGCGACCTTGGCCTTAGCGAATAGACTTCTGCTATGCCGCCTTTCACCTAGCCGAGACGAGCAACTGTAGGTCACCACTTATCCAACCTCCGACGCGTCCGCAAAAACGTACAACTCACTTGCCCCCCCTCGGCGTATTCCTGGTACGGGACGAGGGAGCCGTATATTGCCAAGCTTGAACAGGTTCATCCACCAGCCTTGCCAGGTCTTGTGATTCGCTTCGCATAGGGTCTCATTCCAAGTAACCTATTTTCTACACAGGTCTTGCAGTATAATCTTGTCTGGCGGTAGCCGCGGTGTAACCAACTCCATTGGATCGTAAAGACTGGCCGACGAGAACAGAATCCTTCTGTGACTCGCCATCTTCTCAGGTAGCTGGAGTTGGAACAAAAACTCATCGTTCTTCGAGTCCCACCACACACCAAGTGCCCTGTCTGTTGGTAACGGGTTTCCCTGTAAGTCACGGAGATATGGTAACCGTTCATCAACCGGGATGCAAATGATTGCTTGGCGACTGTTAGACATTCACTTGGTTAACTTGAACCCTCTCATGAGCAGTAGCTAGATAAGTTGCTAATGTGTTGAACTGCATCCTCGATGCTATCGAAGGATCCCAGGAAGTCGTCCACGTAAAAGTTATGTTTAACACAAGAATCAACCGGGGTTTGGAAACCCTGAGCAAATTAATTCACGGTCATTTTTAGAGCGGCGTTTGCACAAAAGGGAGAGGAGATTGCACCAAACGAGTGTGCCGTCATCCGACATTCCTGGGCAGGTCCATCTGGATCTCCTTCCGGCCACCATACAAACGCGAAGCGTCCCTTCGCAGTTCGCGGACGTTAACCTGCATGATCATTTCCTGGAAAACAACCCTGGTGTTTTGAGGTTCCTTTAGTTTTATAAACTGGGTGGTGCGGAGGGTACCATAATGGTTGCTCTTTTTCGGCTTCTCCCACTGCGCGTTCGATATAGCCCAAATCTAGATTTCGTTTCATGGCGTTACAATAGGCTTCCTTCAACTGCACGTTTCTTTTCAGTCGTCCCTTGAGGTTATCGGGCAGTCGATTGAATCCCGTTCGCCAGGGTAACGGCACTTCAAAATGGGTTCCGTTGTATCGTGTCGTTTTGACGACCGTAGCCAGGGCTGCTCGGTCTTCCCTCGACATAGATACTCGATCATCTGCTATATCCCCGAACTCGTGGTTGGATAGCCGCTCCAGGTCGTCTCCCATAAGATTATGTGGCCGCGAGATGTAGTTGATTAAGGCTGAGTAGTTACCTTCATTGACGAGCATTCCGCAGAGTATCCAGCCGAAAATCGCGTGCACGGTGTAGGGTCTCTGCGAACTGCTATCCGTTGGTCCAAAACCCAATGCACTTTGGGTACGTCACAGCCGATCAATATGTCCAATTGGGTATCCGGAACATCCACAAACGGCAGATCGTGGAGGTGAAGCCAGCGCCGCGCTAACGACCGGATACTTTCGGAAGCTCTCATTGGTAATGATAATGATAATGATAATGTATATTTCACGAAACCC